TATATCTGACATTCCATAATGAGATAACTTACTCAGTAGTATCTGGTGATTGACCATATCAAAGGCATTCGAGAAATCTAACAGTACCAAGACGGTGTTGATGTGATTGTCTAAATCGTGAATGATGGAATCAGTAAGATGTCATAAAGACGAAGTAGTGCTGTAACCAGCTCTGAAACCTGACTGATGTAGAGAAATAAGTGATTTTGTTCGAAAAAACTCCACTAGTTGTGAGTAGACAGCTCTTTCGAGTATTTTTGATAGAAAGCATAATAAGGTAATTGGGCCTGAGATCCGAATATTGTTCTGGATGATTAGTTTTAGCTATTGGAATAATAATACCATTTTTCCAACTGGCAGGAAGTAACCTGTTTCGAGACAGACATTAATAATGTGGATATGGTCTATGGTATCAGGCAAACATAAGCAAACCATATTTAAAGTTAGACCATCAGAGCCACATGCCGTAGACTTAATGTGAGAGATTATATTGACGATGTCTTGCTGAGTAAGGAGTTTAAAAGCAAACAGAGGTGCATTCGGTGTATGGCGTCTATCGCTATAAGAGTTAGAGACACCATCAATCAAATTTGATCAGCTGCAGCTGTCTGGAAAATTGAAAGAAAATAATTATTTAAAATGTTGGGCTCAAGGAGACTGGGAGGTATCGCAACATGTTTCTGGCTACCACATTCATCCTCCTCAGGTGTTTCCAAGCTTGACTAGAGTTAAGATTCCGGAAACGTGACAAGTATGCTTTTTTCTCTTCTAAGCGATGCAAGGGCATAATTTCTCAAATCTTTGTAGCTGGCCCAATTCTGATCAGATCTGTTATGCTGATAGACAGCGAATGCCTCATCTCTGAGTGAAAAATCATTTTCAAGTTAGGAGTGAGCCAGGGCGCAGCAGAGTTTGTGACACGTACTGTACGTAGCGGAGCGTAGAGATCGAATAGATAAAGAAGACGGCCAGTAAAAATAGAGACTTTAATATCCACATCATTCACGAAATAAATGTCATTAAGCTGCATTGATGCAATCTGCGTCTTAAAACTTTGAATATCAATGCTATTAAGATTTCTATATGTTACAAATTTAGGCTCTATTTTTTATAACAAACGGAAATATCACAGTATGTGTATAGTATTGTCACTAACAAATATTGGATCAAGTAATGTGGAACTGAAGGCTCATCAATGACTTGAATGAAATTGAATGAATCAAAGCAGCTGCTTAGGATGTTGTTATGAGCAAGCATGTCGACATTCATATCGCCCAAGAATATAATGTTGTCATATTGGGAGTGAAAAATGAGATAAGATTTTCTAAACACTGGATGGCTTGATGTATAGAGCAATGTGGTGGCCTACATATAACACCAATTAACATACTGGACCCGTGCAGTTTAAATTTATAGCATAACATTTCAAGAGGATTTATAAGTCATCGAGCTCAACTGGGATAAGATTAGTGCTAATATCTAATTTAACATAGAGACCGATGCCACCCTCTCTGCTCCCACGGTCCTTACGGAAGAAATTATACTCAAGTATATTGACTACAGTGCTGTCAATACTGGAATGCAGGCATGTTTCAGTGACTGCTACAACATCAAACTTATATTGAACAAGAGAGGCAAAATCATTAAAGTGAGCTGTTAGAGAACGCACATTTAAGTGACATAGTTTCAAGACACTTTTTATAGTGTTAGCCATAATCCACCCTTTCTTTAGAGTTTGACATAATTGAGAACACAGGACAGTTTGGAAAATTAGCCGAATGATCAACTGGTAGAATCTTCTTGTACACCTTGTTATGGTTCAGGCAATTTACGCATTGTAGGGCGCTCGAGTTACACTCCTTGATTTTATGATTTCGCGTACACCTTGGGCAGGACAGATCAGCTTTACAAGATGCTTCAGCATGGCCAAACGAACAGCACTTGAAACACTTTAATATGCGAAAGTGATCAGAGATAGGTGACTTTTTCAACCAATATATAAAAACCTTTCTTTAATAATTCCGATCTTAGAGTAGGAGTGACTTCAATTACGATGTTGATTCCGCAGGAGGATTTGAGCTTAGTGACAAACTTAAGTAGAGAACCATCAATGTTGTTGAGAGAAGCTATGTTCGAAATCAAATCATCAGGATTGTCAAGACCATCCAAATTAACGTTTCTTATAAGCAGGCGTGGATTCAGCTTCTTAGCTTCAGATATTGAATATTTAGAACCCAATTTATTGCAAAGGTTATCTTTCAGTGTGCTCAGGGAACTGCCATCTTTGCAGTCCACAGCAATACCATTACGAATTTTTCGAGTATTATTGATGCAAAACATTAAGGCTGGCTGGATTAACAGAAGACTTTACTTCACTGAGAATTGAGTTCACATCTGCCTCGTTATCAGCCTTAATCAGGAGGGTCGAAGAAATTACGTTAGTTCTCTTCACTGCATCGCTGTACTTGCTCGGTCCAGGAATGATACCGGATTAGTCAGTTGCTAACAGAAGGCGAAGAAATCTTCTCATGAGACTCAATGACAGATTTTTGAAGGGACACTGTGTACTGCAAGTCATCAAGATGGTTCTTAGTTATACTAATTTCACGATTCAATTGATCAATTTCCCTCTGCATAGATTCAATACTGATTCTAGTAAGAGACGCTTTTGATTGCATTACAATTTTGCAATCGCTGCATACCCAGTGGATGTTATCACAATCTGAAAATATTTTAAGCTAAGCATCTTTAAAGGAAACACAATGGCAGTGGAATTTACCGCTACTTAAACTGAATTTGACAAGTTTGGTTTTAACAATGAAATTGTCCTCGCAGAAGTTACAGACATCTACATCAGGTGCCATGGACAATTGCATGGACCTAATATACCTGGACTATCTGTAGGAAAACAAATGAAGAATGTGTTTTTTGCTCAGCTAAGTACAAAAATACATGTGCAAAACTGAATCTACGTGTTAGGCGATTAAGAGTCTTACCGCACAGGTAATAAGGAAAAAAGAGTCCTGCAAGGTGTGCAAGGTTCGAAAACAGCTGAACTATTCAATAATTCACGCACATACACACTTCACATAACAAAGTAGAGACTCAAAAAATTTTCACAGATGTTCAACCCTAGAAATTTAAACTAACATCAATCCGCTAGTCGGTTTGATGTATACTCATGAACGATCATAAGTATCTCTTTTATGTATCGACCATAATTAAGAGGAAAGTCTTTAACAATAACTAATGGGCCTACCACACAGAGCAAGCTTCACCACAGTTTCACCTGCACAGGCCGGTTTGTACATGGAACACTGTGCGTGTGGTTGTCGTTCAGTTGGCTTGCGCAAACCTCGCAGCGTGGCTTGCGCGAGTTTGGTTTGTTTGAAATTTTGCATGCGCAAGCCTGGTCTGCGCGTACTTGCCTGTGCGTGTGGTTGGGTGTTCAGTGTTCAAGCCACAGTCGAGGCTAGTCGTGGTTTGCTAGGTACGCATTCGTCCGTTACAAAATGGCAGATTTGCGCTCATATAATCGCGAGTTTACGACGGAATTGATAAATTTATACAAATCCTTACCAGCGCTCTGGAAAATTAAGTGCAAGGATTATTCCGACAAAAATAAAAAGAATTCTGCCTATGAAAAATGATAAATTTAATGAAACAGGTAATAACATAATGTTACTAGCTAGTTATTGAATATTTTTTTATAACAATATGTTTTGTTTTTGAGTGGTCCCCGAGTGTCGCAAAGGTTGTAAGTATCAAAAATGCACTTTTAATATAAGAAATATTTATTGAACATGTATTTTAATACAATTTATTCTTTTTAGGTCGAACCTGAAGCTACCAAGGATACAGTAAAGAGAAAAATAAATTCACTTAGAAGTTCCTATAGAAAAGAATTAAAAAAGTGGATGCTTCAACAAGATCTGAAGCTGGCACAGAAGACAGATATGAACCATCGTTATGGTATTTTGACTTGCTTAGTTTTTAAAAGACCAGGAACACCCAGACAGGGAATTTCAAATTTTGATGACACATTCTCCCAGGTATAGAAGAAAAATTTGTTTGTTTGTTAACTAGTAGCTATGTTTATTTCAAATTATGTCTACGTATGTATCAACAAAAGCGTTATCTATATAGTATTAATACTACACATTCTATTTGCCACGGCACAGTGCCTTCGTTATTAAAATAATTTGAAATTCCTCTCTTGGCGCTTTGGCATCATTGGAAATGTTTCTGTAGTGGCCTCTCTGTAATTCAATAGATTTGTATCTGCTCTTAAACCTAACGTTAAAGTGCCCTCAATCGTATCTTCGATATCCAATGAGGTAGGGGGGTTATATTGGTAGAGTATTTATTTCTTAAAAAATTATGGAGCACGCAACAAGTCATAACTACAAGATCTATATTTTCAGGAGCCAAATTTATACTAGTATGAAAAATTCTGAACCTAGAAGCTAATATGCCGAAGGCATTTTTCTACAATGCGTCTAGCTCTTGACAAGCGATAATTGAAAATTCTGCGCTCATTTGTTAAATCTTTTGACTGAATGGCTTCAAGAAGTTAGGGGTTAAAGCAAAGGCTTCATCGCCTATAAATACGTTAGTTAAGAAACTTATCAGAAAATTTTCAATTTTTCTGTTCCGGATATGCAATGGACTGGTTATTCAATGTGTCATAAAATTCGTCTGCTCAATTACACACCATCGGAAATTCTTTCATTCATGCCAAATTCGCATATAATAAATTCATAATTAGCGTTTACTGCCACCATAAAGACCATGCTATGGAACCCTTTATAATCATAAAAACTTCTGGCGGTGGGTTTATTCGTATATGCTTTTCCATCTACTGCTCCCAACAATGAGGGAAATTCCATTTTTGCTCAAAGTCTTGTGCTATTTGTTTCCATTCTTTCTGCGAGTTTGGTACCTTAAACATATTTTTTAGCAAAATCAATATTATATTATTGATAATTTTTTTATCACAGAGTATTCCGTCAGAACATGTCAAGCAGATGGATGAGGTACAGTCACCAAGGGCAACAGTCATCGAGTTTAAATCAAGAGATGGAAACGACATGTTGCTTCCTCCACCACAAGAAAACTTCAATCAACCCTAGTGCAAATGCAAGAAACCTTCGTCACCAGCAAATTCCTTATCTATCGACCAACATATGAAATATAAACAAAAAACTGTTAAACACTTAACCTGACGACACTTATGAAGTATATGGAAAAAACATTGCTCAAAATTGAGAATCCTACCCAAAGATCAAGCGTATTTGGGCGGAAAAAATAATAACGACACATTGTCGAAGCAGAACTTGGCAACCTGTCTAGGCAAACAGTAACCAGATCAATGATTATTTACAATACGGCTCTCTACACTCGCAACCTCACAATGATCCTTACTCACAAACACAGACTTCTCCATACTCGTACCCTCACAGTTCTCCTTATTCACAAACACTGACTTCTTCATAGCGCAAACCTCACACATCTCCTCACTCACAACAACTAAGACCTACTCCATACTCGCATTCAGAGAACAATTTTAAACTCAACATTCACAACAAGAAATAAGCCAATCAACGACCTCAATCCACGGAACCTTTCTCCAAATCAACATTCACAACAACAAGGAGACGGACACATCTGCAAGAGCAAGACCAAATTGTACAATTACAAATACTTGATGATCGATTCCCACAATCTGAGACAGTATCCAGAACATTCCAATCGACAATCACAACAACAAAAAGATAGAAATGTATCTACTTTTTGGGAAAATTTTTCAACCTTGATTTTTTGTCATTGTCACACATTGTCTTTTTAATTTCATGTTCTGAACTTTACTTCAAAAACTGTACTCTAAATAAACATCATTTAACTCACCTCCATGTATTTTTTTTGTAAAACCTTGTAAAAAATGGCTCGGCAGGTATCAGGAATAATTTTAGATAAAGCCTGTTCAGAAATTGCTGTAGAAAATCTTAAATCTTGGTATGATCTTCCAGTAGCCAGGAACCTCAAAGTAGCGGTCAGCCTTTCGTGAGGTGATAAACTCTCACGCATAACCGTATTTTGACGTCGAATGAGAGGCGTAACCAAGCGTAATAGTTCACCATAGACATTTTCATCCATCCGTAAATAATTTCGCCAATCGTTTGAGTCTTCTTTTAAATCCTTCAGTAGATTATATGCGAATGAATTTTTCTATCAACAGCCATCTTTTCGTCCACTTTGATGGTTTACGTTTAGACTTTAACAGTGTCTTTTTCTTCATTAACCAAAACCAAATACACCAACACAAGCAATTCTTCTTCATTGGGAGACATTGTTCCCACGACGACGATTTGACAAGAATGTTGGCTTGCGCGTACTTAACTGTGCCGTGTGGTAGCCACGTCGTGTTTCAAGCTTCAGCTTCCACAGTCTTACCTTCGCAGGTGGAACTGTTGTGAAGCTTGCGCGTTGTGGTAGGCCCTTTAACGTGCCGTAGTTTTTCTGTCCAACATTGCCGAACACACTTTAAATTCTTCAAAAGTACATCTGGAGATACGTGTTCGTCAATATATGTTTTAGATTAATTTCATCCCGCTTAAATAATACTATAATGTTACAGTTGTCTCGTATGAGCTGTTTTGGAATTTTAGAGTATGTTTGGCAGAGATATACAGCATCGATATCCTTATGACGACACATGGAGTAATACTCTCGAATTGTCTGCTGTCCATCACACGAAACGTCGTCAAAGATGAATATAGAGGCATTTTTAGCCTTACTCGGACTTATAATTTCTTCGTTATCCTTAAATGGGAAATTACCAACGCCCTTATCAGCGGAAATCACTTCTTGAAGCAGTCGATACTTTCGTTGATACAATTTTTAATAAACATAAACATTTTTAAATTTAGCACCGTTCGGATGGAAAAGCAGCGGCAGCATTACGTTCGTTTTTCCACATCCGCTTGGTCCGCAGATGATGGCGCGATACGAATTCGGTAACAATTTACCATGTTTACTATGTTGAGCTTTTGCTGTAAAATCCAAATTATCAATGGGTAATGTATGCTCTTGTTGAACAACCTTCATCGTGTGACGTTCGAATAAGGAACGTGAAAGTATATATATATATATATATATATATGTAGATATTGCTAACGCATTATCAACAGTTCTCATGTTGACGTACAAGGGTGAAGGTGTTGTAAACTCTCTGATCAATAATCTTCCGATAGAACTCCACGTACCTTCGTATCAGTTTCTGGGGGCGTAAGTGTGCGACAGATTAGGATACTTTTTTTCATTCTTACACACACATGCATATTTTCAGCGGAAACTAAATTAAAGAAGCGACTAGCACGAGGAGATCCTGGAAAGAACCCATTGGATCGCGCTGCAAGAGATCACGATATCGCATACTCCTTATACAAAAATTTGAAAGATAGTCACAAAGCTGATTGGATTCTTGAGAACCGAGCTTGGGAACTTGTAAAAGCACCTGACGCATCACTAGGAGAAAAAACTGCAGCTTGGCTAACAACTATCGCAATGATGGTTAAGCGAAAATTGGGTATGGGACAGAAAAAATCCTCCTCCTCCTCTTTCCGACGAGGTCTTCTCTCCAAAATCAAAAAGTCCTTGAAGAAACATACTCCCACGCCATTAAAAAAGTCCACATTGGTTGCTCTTAAAGCGTCAAGAATAGCGGTGAAGAGTGCAGGTGGAAAAGATAATGTTCAACTACCTAGAATAACTTCCATCGAAGGAAAATCTGGGGGATTTCTACCATTGATTCCCCGGGTTAAGTGCCTAAGGGGCGCTCGCAGGAGGGGCTGCAGGTGTGGAAAAAACGGTCGTTGATGCTAAGAATGCGCAAAGAAATTGGAGGAAGACCATCGTCATAACAAAGCGAGGAGTCTTTGGGTAAAGGATTGCATTTGAGAAAAATGCTAAAGGTGGTTACGGGTTGTACCTCAAAAAAATGACAAAAAACTAAACGTTAATCTATCCAAGAAAGCGCTTTATGATTATGAAATAGATCAATATGCGAAGATCTTGAAAATATACTTTACCACGATACGGTCCACGTAAACGAGAATGCACCTTCGTGAACTTAGGTATTTCACGAAACAACGGAACTCATTGGGTAGCTTATAAAAAGATAAACAACATCGTTGACTATTTCGATTCATTCGGTAACCTGAAGAATCCGCAGGAACTTTTTCGATATCTGAAAAACGCTAAAATTTTCTACAACAACGATCCTTACCAAACTAATAATCAAGTTAATTACGGACAACAATGGAAAATAAAACATTTTCGGAATTTACTTTAGAAGAGTTTGAGAAGAATATCCCGCCGCTGGAGTATCTAATAAACAATGTGAGACCTGCAGAACTGTTGAGTATATGGCACAAACTGCATGCAGAATTCACGTCAAATTTTGATCTTCAAATACGACTTCCATGCTATGTTCACTACAACAGACCTGATTGGACAACACATTGGGATGGACCGGCTACTGCTCAAGGAAATTGTTATTTCTGTAAATTCTTCATTCCAAAATAAAAACTTGAATAAATGTTAGTATACAGCTATATTTTATTCATTCATCATGTCACAGTTGTTGAGAGTAAATAGCACTACTCACATATTTTCATTTCGTCCTTCCAACACCGATAGTGTTGGATCCGAAAAAGATTATGAATTGGCGCGTTTAGGTCTTTTACTCCATACAATTCCATACCGCATATTGAAAAAGGAGATAAATTTTATAACATCGACCAGATAGGTCAACTAAAAGTCATCGAGTTTCCTACAGGCTGTTATAAAATTACGACATAGAAACATTTATACGAACGATGAATCTTGAAAATGAAGTTGTCCTCCGATGATATTTTTCTCTAAAACCTAACAATAATACACTGCAATGTGAAATCTTTAGCAAGTATTATAAAATAGTTTTACAGAACCGAATAATCTTGGACATCTATTGGGATTCTCGAAAAAAGTTCTTAATCCTGGTCAAAAGCATTCTTCTGATTTACCTGTAAACATAATAAAAGTATCAACCATACACTTTGATGCTAACATTACGTCGGGAGCCTTTGACGGAGACACGCCTGCACACACGATCTACGAATTTGCTGTGACAGCCGATCCTGGATACGCTATAGTCGAAACACCTGTAAATTTACTATATCTACCTGTTATACCGAAACAAGAAATAACCAACATCACAGTGTTGGCTTTAGATCAAGACGGTCGTCCTGTAAACTTTCAAGGTGAAACTAGTACTCTTGTGTTGGAGTTGAGCGAAGCGCAGATGGGATTAGTGATTATAAGACATAGTGGTGCTTCCAAGGCAACTTCAGTATTACCCCAAGCACCTAAGCGACGACATCTACCTACATCAAATATCCTGTTTCTACGCTCACTTGGATATCATGTCAACAACAAGAATCATGTACAAAAAGAGAAAAACTGAGGAGGCAGCAGCAGCAGCACACATACTTCTCCGATGTTTGATCTATATCGATCTCCAGCATTCGATGAATCTATTCGCAAGGCTGAGTATAGATCTTATACGCCGTTCATCAAGTCATTTAATTGTAATGATGTTGTGGAATTTAGCATCAATCAAGTAGATTCGTTCTTTGCAATGAACGCTTCCCTTCTATCTATCAAAGGAAAAGTTGAAATAACTGGAGGAGGAGCAGGAGATGTATCTTTAGCTCCAAACTTTGGTGCCTTCCTATTTGACTCTTGCACTTACAGTGAATCCGCTAGAGAAGTTGAAACAGTACGTGATCCTGGTATTGTAAGTACTGTCCGAGCTTACGTATGTTACAGTGAGGAAGACTCAAATCATATGGCTATAGCTGGATGGAACTATCCTTCAACACCTATATGGCGTCAACACATAACAAGTCTTTTAGCTTGCTAATGCCGCTTAAACATATTTTCAACATTTTCAATGATTATCCTATGATTACGTGTGGCAGACAAACTCTCAGATTTGTGAGAGCTAGAAACGATAACGATCATTATCAAGGAAAAAACTGGAACGACACGACGACAGCGAAAATAACTATTGAAAGCATGGAACTGAAAA